TGCCCCATTTCCCAATGCTTTTCTTGGCCTTACTTTCACAATTTTACCACCCTGAAAGATAAACCCTCTGTATTCTTAAAATTATGTTTTAGAAAGGATTTCTCTCTTTCCTATTCCTGAACGTACCTGGTTCTTTTCCTACAGTACAAAAATTAAGGACTAATCAATTTTCTCCTTTGGCCTTAAAGTCATTTAGAACTTTATTTGCATTCACCTGGCCAAGTTATAAATACCGTCATTTGCATTCACCTGGCCAAGTTATAAATACCGTCAAACACCTATATCATGCAGTTTCTTTACTTAAAATAATAAATTGGTTTCACTTAATAAAATACAAAACCAGATGAAGTCAACCGGTGTACCCAGCCATTAGGAACATACATTTAGCAGGCAGTGGGGAAAAAAAGCCAAGATGCTAAGAAGGGAGACCACCCCCAAGGCCAGTAAGTACACAATGTCAGCTCTAGGTCATGTATTCTAGAAAACCTCAAGTGGAAATAATTCTTATTTCATTTTTAATCTATGGCTTCTATTGTATACCCAGAGAATCTGAACTTGGTTTTGCTGTTTTCTCTCTCGCCTTCATTTCTCTCTGCTTTTCAAGGCCTTTTCCCTTGGGGCCTCTACTTGTCTTCACAGGCAGCTGTCTCCAGCCACATTTTTCAGTTAGATACTGCTGCCTAACAACTCAGAACCTGACATACAGTTCTTTAGTAAACATTTGCTGAATACGTTTTGGAGCCTGAAACAAGGAAACCTATGATGTATGGAGAAATAATGCAAGTTCAAGAGTCAGGAAATTAGCTGAATAAGATTTAATAATAATAGGGACAATTATGATATTGGGCTTTTGACAATACCCTTTTGTGTGTCTAACATGCTATATGAAAAGTTTTAAGTATATAAAGTTATTTTAATCAATGTGACGCTAGACATCATGACCCTTATTTGACAGGTGAATAAATAGGCTTTGAGCTGTGAAGTAATATGCCCACAGTCACATAGCTACTAAGTGTAAACTTTACTGAAATTAATATGCATGTCTGTTCAATCCTAAACGAATGCCTTTTTATCCCTTTTGGTCTGGTTCTTCATTTTTTATTCTCTTAAATGTGGAAATTCTAACATTCACTAAGTTCTCTTTCGGCTTTAAGATAATTCATGTATAAGTTGACACATATCTAAAGAAAATTTACAGTTCAGTTAGTTTGCCTTGTTGATTAAAATCTCACAAGAGACAAAGGAATGGCTCTCCAAAGCTGAAAATTTAGAAGCCCTGAAAGGAAAGAGGAAAAAAACTTTGGTGCAACTTGAGCCTTACAATTTTTCAGACACAACCAAAAATGAAGTTACCATTGTCTTTTTACAGCAGTTAACATTTACTGATAACTTATTATGTGCCAGATGCTGTGCTAAAAGTTTATATGTATTACTTCACCAAAATCTCAACCCCTCTGAGATAGAGTTATGGTTATTCTCAATTAACATATCAGAAAAACAAGCTTAACTCGCCCAAGTTCACATTGCTAGCATGCAGGAGAGCTTGGACTCATACTCAGGTATCTTTAACTCTGAAGCCTAAAATCTTAACTTTGAGGTTATATTGTTTTGTATGCTATTTTAGCTCATTTGTCTATGAACATTTAATGTGATTTATATCAATGTCATCTTTATCATTGATTTTAAAATAAAACCCGTCAGATATATCAGAAATCTTTTTAGTTTGCTAGGATATGTGGTGATGCTTAACAAGTATCTCATGATGCATGCCTGTCAGTGCAATTAAATATCTTTGGGTCACTCTCAATCACATGCCTATGAGTTACAAGCTCTACCTCCCCCTCTCTCTACATATTTCTTTCTGTCCAAAGTGTATAGACTATCAGGCATCAAAAGAAAATAGACAACCCACACCAATGTGGAGATTTGCAAACTCTAACATGAGAAAAATCTCCACAGAGAAAACATAATGCCTGGGTGGGTGATTGACTTAACAGAAATCCTACCTAAATGTATTCCCACATTCATTCATTCCATACTTATTAGAAGGGATTATTGACACTTTGAGAAGATATAATCTCAGGGACCCTGATAGCAAATTAACTTCTGTATTAAGAAGAATAGAAGTTAGCTGTTATTCTCTACACTATGGCAGCCTGATTTTCATTTTAACTATAACTGATATTACACACTATTACTAATCTATTTGTAGATATAAAGAAAAAAATCATACATATATGTATATATGTTCTGTTTTTACTTTCTGAAAGAAATAACCTCCAAATTAAGCTACATAGGAAGTGTAGAAATGCTCAAAAATGACCCATTTAGATTCTGTAACTATTTGGAGAGAGGAGGAGATTTTAGTAGCTATAATTTTTTGATCAAATAAGTATTAGTTCATTTTTATTTTAACCAAGTACACATTTTGTAAAATAACACCAATAAGGTGTGCTATTTTTCTCTAACCAAACTCTTCACAATAAAATCCAACTGCAATATTCATTTAGAAACTTGATAATGCTCTCTTGTGTGAGTTTTAGGAATATTTGAAACCCCATTGCATATAAATTATATCATGGAAAAGCTGTACAAATATTCTATTATGGCACATGCTGTTCTAAGGATCTGTCAGGATTTCCTTTATACACTCCATTTTGAGTGGTATATAAATCAGATGTAAAAATTCATGTTGGACTGAAACTCAGCACAAAAAGTCTCCTCCAGAGGCAAATGCTTTTTTCAAAATGTGGTTTGAATTATGTTGGTCATTTTTAAGTTACAGAAGTGCAGAAAATGTATTTGTGGTTTTGAGGGAGAGAGATTTTTTCCATTTTTATAACTCATTAGGAAACTTTACAGGCCTTCAGACCATTTTGTGGTTTAGTTCTTCTCAGGTTTTTCCCCAAAGCAATATTAAAACTTGAATGGTGTCCGCTGTGAATCCAGTGATTACTGTTCTGAATACAAATGTATGTGTGGACACATATATTTCTACGTATCTTCAACTAGGAAAAGTTCCAAAAACATCACGCCCAAGGGAGAAGATGAAGCCTATCAGCTGGCGACTCTTTGTCTTGGTATCAGTCAAGTACGGCCTGTCAAAGGAATCAAAGGAATCCCCTAGCCAAACCACAGTTCAGTAGGTATTGCTTGCAATCTTAAAACTGCATCTTTAAATTGCAGAAAAATCCACTATGTTCAACACTGCCTCTTTTATGAACTTTTAGACAATAATGCTACACCTTTTCTAAATTTTGTTTTCTCTAACATATACAGCAAGTTGCAGTGTGTTTAACATATATTCACTGATGATTATCTTATTTTTAAAGTATTTAATAGGTATATATTTATGCATATAAATTAGTTTGCCAAATAATGTTGAACTTATTTTGTTTGTGTAGCCAATGTGTTAGAGTAATTTCATAAACATCTAAATTATTATTTTAGCCTATGTAGAGATTATTATTAAACTGTATCTCCTAACAGCATCAGTCAAAATCAAAGAAAGTTTAATTTAGACCAAGAAAGTTGGCCTAATTCACAAAGTTGATTAAGTCAATATTTCAAATGACTTTAAAGGAAAATGAAAATAAACATAACATATATGTTTGAATTGCTTCCACCTATACTGCATTTAGTTTATTAATACATTGGAACAATGCATTTAGTAGTTATTATTTATCCTTTAAAGCAAAATTTTTTAAAAATTTCCCAATATCATATCTTATTCTCTGTATTAAATTCCCCTTAGAGAATTAAATCTGGGTGCCTTGATTCCAAATACAGTTCCTTTTCCTATTTCCTATATTACACTATTTCCGGTACAGTTACCAAAATCCTTGGGTTTAGGGACGGTTAGGATGGAGCACTCAGAGGATGATCAAACATTTGCCTGTGGCTGGAGCAATGTAGACTTTCCCTCTGGGATACTGAGGAAAGAAGGGGTATCACTTCTCATGAACGTTTTATCTACTTACCTAGTGTCACAGAAATTAGCCAGCTACTATCGAGACAGCTGAATGCCAGTTTTTCTTATTTTTCACATTAACAAGAGAGCAAGGTTACTAATGAGGGGTCACATCCCAAATCTCTAATCTATACAGCTGAATATCCCTATTTATATTTGGGTCATTTTTTTGTTCTGCTCCATTGACTTTTACTAAATTATACTAATTTGTGTTCCATAATGTTATCTTTGGTTATAATTAATGAAATTGTGTGTGTAACTCATATATCACTCATGTACTTATGTCTTTTTGTTAATCATTAAGGTCATTTCTTTTATAATTTAAACTAACATGTATCACTTCAAACATCCCTGTATAACTCAAACCATTATTAAGAAGTTATTTGCAGCTTTTGGGAGAAGTTTACAAATTGAAATATAGTTTTATGTTAATCAAAACTGTTTCAAAGTAAAACATAGACATTTAAAAACCACTGAAAATAAATGTACTTTAAATATCAAAGTAAATAATTTTGTATGTGAATAATCTAGATTTTAAGGTTTGAACAGGAATAATTTATAACTCATTAGGCAACTAATATACACAGTGCACTTCTCTCCCAACCTATTGCATTATAGCCATATTTTTTTATTATACTTTAAGTTCTAGGGTACATGTGCACAATGTGCAGGTTTGTTACGTATGTATACATGTGCCATGTTGGTGTGCTGCACCCATCAACTCGTCAGCACCCTTCAACTCATCATTTACACCAGGTATAACTCCCAATGCCATCCCGCCCCGCTCCCGCCTCCCCACAATAGGCCCCGGTGTGTGATGTTCCCTTCCCATGTTTTTTTTCTCACATTTGTAGAAAGGATAACCCACTGCTATCATTTGAATAGCTTTGACTTTGTTAAACCCTGGCACCATTGCTTTTTACATAGCAAGCAGTATATTTTTAAAGAGTGACTTTCTTACAACACATGAAATAAAGAATAACATAAAAACTTTAAGATTATGAATAAAGTGTGTAAGATATATCCTCACCTTGATTTTACCTTTAAGCAGCCTTTTATTTGTCTGTTAGGAACTTCTTTCCATGGTTTTACAGGCTCTGGCTCTTGTTCTTTCTTTTGACAAATGAATGTATAATTTGTGCCATTATTATTTGACCAAAATGTACCAACAGAAGTTTCATAACGTATACAAAACTCAACTTTACTGCCATCTTTTTGATAAGGAGGAACCAATGAAATCTTAAAGGAGAACTGGTCAGTTTCACCATCACATGAATTAGGAACATATTCTGCTAAAATGTCATAATGTGTCTGCCAGTCATCTAAAGACATTCGTACATATACTAACTTCTCAAAAGAAACATTCAAAACTCGAATAATACCCTTGATACTTGTAGACCCAGGAAGAGACTCAGTTGACTCCAGTATTGCTTTCTGTACTTGGAGTTGTTGCATAAGATCTTCTTTTGAAGAAGGCAGGTCAAACAGTGGGGCTAAAACATATTCTTCTGTGTGGAAAATGTCCGTCCCTAAGTCAAAAGTGGTTGAAGCACTCGGTAATTCCCAGCAATCAAATTCTTTAACAGACACGAGATTGAATCCAAAGGAATCAGCAAATGAAACTCTTCTAGTACCTGAAGATGGGGTATCCAGGTATATGTCTTCAGAAGAATCAGAACCTCGTCTGCTCGGTTGAGGGGAGAAACCAGGTTTGAAAGTAACTTCTTCATCTTCACAAAGAGAGTCAGATAAATTAGGAACTTCTAAAAAATTATCTTTACTAATCTGACTAGGTACTTCAGAAGGCTCCATTGGGCTCTCTGATATCAAATAAGAGAGAACTGTTCCACTAGTAGAGGCTGACATTTGAGACACTGAGGCTTAAAATAAGTATAATGTTACAGTTGACATTGCAAAAAGGAGTCAGCTCTATAAATAGGTCCAATGGCGTGTCAACTATGCTAGCCTGCAAACTATGCTAGCCTGCCTCTAAAGGCCTTGAATATGATAGCATCCATGCTACTCTTGCCAGTATGTTTCAGATTTAACTCACAGTTTTTAAAGTTGCATTTGTTTATAAGCTAAGTTCCAAAGAGGTATTTTTAAATCATGTTCTGCTATATTGGAAATCCTGGAACTTTAAGATAAAAATATTATTTTAATTAGTTGATGTTAAAAATGGAAATACTTGAGATTATATGCAGTATTGTATCCTGATTTTTTCCACTTCCTTCATAAGGATTTCTCCATACCATCAAAACCTTTTATGTAGTTTCTTTATCCTATGTATACAGTAAAACTTATGTATACTTTCCTTTATATTTAAACATTGAGATTGCTTTCACTTCTTGCCATTGTAAAAACTGTTGTGATAAACATCTTTCTGCATAAGAAAAAATGGAAATGTGGATTTTTTTTAAATAAAATAAAAGTAGTATCACAGTACTGAATATGTAGTTTGAACTAAATTAATTCATGCAGCAGGTAAGTGCAAACAGGGGAAGATAAGAACATTTTTAGAACTGGAGAGATCCAGAGCCTACTAATAATGATACCTATCATTTTCAGGGATTTATAAATGTATAGTTTTTATTACAAAAGGGTTAAATAAAGGGGCTGAAAGTTCTGAGGAAGGAAACATGATTCAGATGGAGAAGGTATCATTTTAAATAAAGCATGAAGGGTAGGTGGAATTTAGACATGCAAGGTTAGAGCAAGGTAGATTGCCCAAGTAGAAGAAATAGCCCAAGCAAAAACCTAGAACAAAGAAGTAATCAAATTCATTATTTTGAACATTAGTACATTCATTTTAATTAAGCCGTGGGAAAATACAGACAAGATATGTGTTATTGATTTGCAAATATAAGTGGGCTAAGGTAAGCCTGACCCAGGACTTATACATTTATGTAGAATAAAACGTTCTTTTGCAAATAGCCATTTTATGCCCTCAAAGCACAAGCTGATACCATCACACCTTGAATTTTGACATGAGTTTTAAAGTATGAACAGCCTGCTTAAACTGTCACATTTTTTTTATGTCATAAAACCCAAGTTGGGGGATGATAATTTTTGTAAAAACTATAAAAATTTTAACTGCACACGATTTGACCCAGAAATGCCCCCAGATAAAAATTTGCTCTATCAGCATAGGAAAATATACAAAGATAAATACAGATCTATGTTCATAATAGAATTGTGTGTTTAACAATCTCTACAAATCTGTTAAATGTCCCTCTCAAAAGAGCATTGGATAAACAGCATTACACCCATACAATAGAATGTTTTAGAAGGATAAAGTAGCACTTTATGTGCTAATATGGAAAGATAATCAAGATAAATGGCTAAGTGAAAAAAAAAATGTGTACAGATATGTGCATAGAAAATTCCTGGAAAGATACAAAAGACAATGTTAGCAGTATTTACTTCTATCCACAAAACTTACAGATGGCAGCAGAATGGGGGCTCTATTCATTTTACTTTATAGTCTGCTGTACTGTTTGAAATGTTACACGTGAGCATGGTTTTATTTCCAAATATCTATTAATTAAACTGAAAAAATAAATAAAGTGTGAAAGGTGACTGACTAGGTTTTCTTTTTGAAAAGAGCCCAATAGCATAATTTCTTTCAAATGAAAACCTCATTAATGTGGTATAACTTATTAGGTAATTTGAATTGCATAAGTAGTGGATGGAGAAATTATTTTCTAAAATTATAAGTGACTATAGAGTCTAGAAGGATAAAGAAATGAAATTATTTGAGCTTTATCTCATTCACATAGCTAGAATGGGTAGTGACCACATGGATTGCTTAAGAATGGCTGTGGAAATGTCTGTGCCTTGCAGATTTGATGACCACAAGTAGCTGTATTTCAAGGTACCTAAAATATGTTGCTATGTAGTCAAGGAAATCAGTAACAAAATGCTCTATGGAAATTAGTAAAATAGTTCATATAGCCATGTAAATAGTGGGATAATGAAAATTTAAGATATAGTAATGTACTGAAATATTTTAACTATCCAGGATTTAGTTAGCAAAGGAGTGGAAATGAAGACCCCTGGGTCCATTTCTTGGCTCTGCTGCTTACTAGTTGAATGACCTTCTGAATATTACTCAAATGTTCTAACCCACAGTTGCCTTAATTGTCAAAGTGCAATGTTAAAAATTAAACAAGATGCTTGTTAAATGTGTCTACTACAAAACCTATAGTAATAGCACAAGTCATTATTTTAATTCTGATATATGTTTGTAAAAGGCTGATTTCTAAGATATATCAATAGATAGATGGATAGGTATGTAATCTAGCTATAGAGAATACATATATATCATTAAGAAGTGATTTGTAATTTGTTTTATTTTTGTCTTTTTCAAAGGCTATAGTGTGTAACATTTAGCTTTATAAGACATAATATAGCTAGACATTAGAAAATGGTCCTGTTATTTGTTCTAAACTTTTCCCTTGTTAATGTGTCTCTTTACACAGAGCACTACCTTAATTTGTAGTAATCACTGCTTTTCTTTTGGAATTTATAACCTTCACATAATTGTAGACAGTTGACATGTTCCCCCTTAGTCACCACTTAGCTAAAGCAGAGTGATTTCATCTTTTTAATCTCTTCTCACATGTCAATCCTCCAGTGCTTTTTATCATTTTGTTACTCCTCTATGAACTCCTTCCAGCTTGCCTGTATTTTTCTGTTAATGAGCTGCCCCCAGATGAATGCAATATTACAGATCAAGTGTCTCTGGAGCATGAAAAGAAATACTAACAGCCTCAGCCTTGTGATTTGGTGTTTGCATTCAGTTAAAATTCACATTTCCTTGCTTTATTTCCATATCACGGATTAGACCAACATCCCATTTTCTCATATCCACTACTACCTCAATTTCAACACAATTTATCACACTCTTCTTCAGCCACTAAGGTATACTGTTTTTAGAAGAGTTACAGCTTTTTCTTTCTGCTTTGTTGTTGTTGTTGTTGTTCTTGTTGTTACAAACTAAAGCTCAAGTCTCCATGCATTCCACAATTTTTGGTATTAATCAAATATTCTCAAAGGCACCATTAACATAAAAAACAGTGTCAGTCAGGAACCCAGCAAACAGGAAATAGATGGCATGCTCAAATAAGATAATTCCAGGAGGGTTTATTTACAAGGGTCTATTTATAAAGTGTAAATGCAGAGAAGCCACAAGAACTAGTGTGACAAACTGGGGTCAGTTGCATCAGAGCTTTTACCATCCCTCAAGGGATAAGGGAAAGGAACACTTACCAGAACTTGAAAGCAAAGAGTGCCATAAAGAGTTTACCAACTGGAGACCTGGTCAAGGGACACAGCCAGTTGAAGACGACTATGCCAGTGGTCCAGGAGCATAAATAAACTGAATTCGTTTTTCTCCTTTTTTATGATGTCCTACCAGAGCTACCTATTGGCCAGAGGGCATGGGAACTATTATAGTTCATTCAGGTCAGTCTCCTGCAGCAGAAAACAGGGAGGAAAATGGTGAAAAGGGTGGCAAGTGGATTTGGAGGAGCAAACAGAAGATATGAGATATGAAATATATGCAAATATAATTATATATAACATATATACATATATAACTTAAAATACATATATGTGTTCCTCTTTATTTATACATACTCCATCTCAATGCCAACTGAGTTTCTATTACCCGATCTTCTACTGTCACGGGTTCAAGAAAAAAAAGGTAAAATATCTAAGGTCTGTCAGCTCTGATCTGGTGAGAATTACTAATAAGAGAGATTGAGTTTATCCACAAATGGGTAGGAAAGAAATGATCTATTTTGAAATTAACTATGACTTTGCATTTCTTTCCCATGTTAGCATAGGTTTTTGCAACCTAAAGAAACGTTTTATCAAGAGAGAGTCTGGAACTGGAGTTTTTAAATTTGACAGAGATAGATGTCAAAAGTCACTAGGAGAGATGTTCAAATAAGATTTTCCAAGAGGATGTTGCTTCACAAGTGATTCTGATATATAGACTTGGTTAAGATGCATGCTCTCTGGCCAGGCGCAATGGCTCATGCCTATAATCCCAGCACTTTGGGAAGCCAAGGCGGGCGGATCACAAGGTCAAGAGATTGAGACCATCCTGGCCAACATGGTGAAACCCTGTCTCTACTAAAAATAGAAAAATTAGCTGGGCATGGTGGCATGCACCTGTAGTCCCAGCTACTCAGGAGGCTGAGGCAGAATAGCTTGAACCCAGGAGGCGAAGGTTGCAGTGAGCTGAGATCGTGCCATTGCCCTCCAGCCTGAAGACAGAGTGGAGACTAGTTCTCACAAAAAAAAAAAAAAAAGGGTATGGTCTCCTAGTCTGTCTGCCATAGTCAGGGGCTTAAGTTCTAGTTATGAAAACGGTTGTAGCTATTATCCCTCTACATACGTACTATGTGCTATTTTTAGTGTGTGTGGGGGTGCTATAAAATGCTTTTAGGAAAAACAAAGCAAGAATTGGGTAGAGCTTTAACGTCACTTAGCAATCATCTAGGCTAGTCCCTTCATATTCACATAAAGAAACATAAATTCAGAATAATGAAGGACTCCATTATCTAATAACAGAGAGCTGACTTGAACTCAGCTCTCTTGAACTCAGCTCTCTCTTGCCCTCAGTCCAATAATGTTCGTATTATTCCATACATATGCCAACTTCTAGTTTTAGAATTCATAATTAACAAATTAATCATTCTTTGAAAATAGTCATTAAAATTAATCTCTTCTAGATTTCATTTTTTTTTAAATCAATTAACTTTTGTGAACTTTCCTTTTTCCATTTGATGAAAGATCTCCAGGGGTGTCCAGACAATTTTTCTTTGTGACAAGCTCTCTCAACCTTTTCCAGCTTATGACCCCTTTAATAAATTTAATATCTTATATGGTTCTCTCTCTCCCTCAGAGACACTGCTGTATTTCTATTTGGGAATTACTGATCTAAGTTATAAAAATGAATTATGTAATCTCTTAGAACTAAAATTAATATTTAGTATTTTAAAAGACTACTAGTGAAAGGATATCACTTCAAACAGTTTGAGACAGAGATTGTTCTTCAGATGTCAGTCACTGAAAAGTTTTCTTTGAAAATGTTCATATCTACCAATAGGGCATGCA